ACCCACACCTTAAATCTTGATGTTATCAATCTTGCTCGTGAAAAGTGTGTTTCTCTCCTATGTTTACCACCTCATTGCAGCCATCGGCTACAACCATTAGACGTAAGCTTGATGAAACCACTCAGTACGTATTACACTCAAGAAGTTGAGAAGTGGTTACTTGTTCACCCAGGTAGAATAGTGACTACTCTGCAATTACCTGCGCTCTTCCGAGAGGCTTATCTTCGTGCAGCCAGTGCTCTGACTGCAGTCAATGGGTTTAGAAAAACTGGTATATGGCCAATCAATCGTGATGTCTTTCAAGATGCAGACTTTGCTGCTTTCATTGCCTACAGATATTCCAAGATTGGAACATGAAGCAACTGGCAGCAATACAGAGTTGGTTGCTGGTGAAGTTTCACCAACAGGCGAATATGTTGAACTCATTATAGAGAAAACTGGCATGCCTATTGAGATTCTTCAGATACCAGTGTTGCAGTCACAACCACTAATTCGGCATATTGGTGAAGGGGCATCTCAACCCACATCACACGAGTCAGGCATGGAGCAACTCGATGATGTTGATCAGTTAATTCTTCAGGTTATTTCTCCGATAACAATGGAGCTGACAGAAGGACAAGTTGGTGACATCGCCTCTCTACTTACATTGGTCGAGCCAGTTCTACAGCAACCCGGTGGCGGTGATGTTGATTCTTTAGTTTCTCCGACAACAATAGAGTTGATAGAGGCACAAGTTGGTGACAGTTCATCTTCACCAAGATTGGTCGAGCCAGTTCTGCAAAAACCCTGTGATGCTGACGGTGTCGGTTTAAATACACCAACAGCTGTTGGTTGTCGAAACGCTCTTGAACATAAACCAAAAGTCCGTGTTTTGCAAATTTCGCCTTTACCAAAAGTGGAAGTGGGCAGCATTCGCAAAACATCGAAATCGAAAGGTAAAACTGCTATTTTGACTGCCAGTCCTTACAAGCAAGGCTTAGAAACAAAAAAGCGTTTGGCTGAAGAGAAGATAGCTGCAATGGAGGCTAAAAAAGTAAAAAAAGCTCTTGCGGCAGCAGAAAAAAACAAGAAGACTAGCAAAACGAAAGAAAAGAAGCCTAAATCTGCACTAAATACAAACCAAAAAAGAGGAGTGAAACAGACTGGGCCTATCCAATCAGTTTGTCCAGAATGTGGAATCATGGAAAAATCTGTCGAGGATAAGGTGAAGGCGTGTGACTGGATTTCATGCAAAACCTGTCTGACATGGTACCATGAATCGTGTGCAGAAGTGAATGGAGTATTTGATGACGATTACTTTTTATGTGTTCAATGTTGTGAGTAGCACCACATGCTACTCGTTTGAACGTGAACTTTCTATTGCTAACTGTTCATCATGAATAGATCTAACTGTAAAACCTATTCACGAAGCTGCAGAAGTGAAATGTATTCATCGTTATTAATAGCTTAATAGTTAGTTTTTGTGTTGAAATGATGAGTTGTTTATTGTTCAGATCTTGCTATTGCATGATAGTATCCTGATAGCGTAGACGCAAAATTAACAAGTTATCATTTGAATAATGTTCTGATCTGATTTTGTCACTGACAGAGCACAAGGTTAAAACGGGCCTGGGGCCCATCTTAACCTGGCCAGTTAAAATGGGCCCGGGCCCGTTTTAGGCTTAGCTATGGGATAAAATGGGCCCCTAATCACAAGTTTTAAAAGTATGATTAATTAATTAGTTTGTTATATTAATCCAACTGATTATGACCCATTAATTACATTGTAATCTAAGTTATGCTATTCTTGCATTAGGCATTCAATACTGGTATCTATATCGGGAAAAAATGAACTTCTATGCTAAGGGGCCCGTATTAGACCACGCTCCCCTAATAAAATCTATTTGTAATACTCTCATTTAAAATTTTGAAAATTGTTTTGAGTATAATAGTCTCTTTTAAAACCACAAAAATCAGTTGCGGTTTGATGTATAATGAAAAAAAAAAAAATTATTTTAAAAAAAAGTGTAAAATTTTTATTTTTTATGCATAGCTATAGCAAAACAGTAACTTTTAAAATTTTATGAACTTACGAGATTAGTATTTTATGAGCTTACGAGATTAGTATTTTATGAGCTTACGAGATTAGTTTATATATTTAAACTATTTAACAGTAAAGCTTTGCGAAAAAAAAATAAAGTAAGGATCAGCCTTGAAATCTGGCTTTAAAGTAATCTTATAATCTGGCTTTAAAATAACGACGTAAATTTTAACATTTAATACTTTTATTTTTTACAGAAAGTGTCACATAATTACCTCGAGAACCTTTATTAAATTCTTGAACTAGTAAATGTAATATGTATACAACCTATTTGAACTATATACATTGCACCTAACTTCCCCTTTTGGGTTTCTTTAACATTTTAAATAATGACTTGTAGCTTTTGTTAGTTGCTTGAAATCAACTTTTATTTCTTGTAAACAAAAATAAATGTGATTTTATTCAATACAAATTGCACTGTTAACCTAACAATTTTTTTCTTTATTAATAATATAAAAATGGTATCATTTACGGACTTATACGACAAAATAAACTAGTTCCTAATGATATACCATTCTTTTTATCGAAATTAACTGTTTTAGTTTCTGAAGATATTAAACTAAAGGATTCTGAATGAAAAACTTTATAAAATTACAATGTAAAAAGCTGATAGCTGCAAACAATGATAACACTCATTTTAAGACTCATTAATGAAGCTCAAGATTTTCAATATATCTACAGTACATTAAATGCTACATCATCAGTTAATCAAGTTGCGAAACTATGTTGCGAAACCACATTGCAAAACTATGTTGCGAAACCATGTTGCTCTTTTGAAAAATCTTGTAAGAGAACAAAAATAATAAGCTCAATGTTTTTAATATTTTATTTGGCCATAAATTACTTCATGCAAAAAAATTGAAACTAAGAAATGAGTTTAAGTACAAAACTGGCACAAAAATTTCTGCTATTTTAAATAAAAACCCTATTAAACTTGCTTAGATATATTCATCTAATGAAGCTTTATTCGATGATAAGTCTTCTTAAACTTCTACGAGTTTTCCTTTACAACAGCATGTATATATCTTAAATAACAAAAAATTTCTTGTCTTATTTTTTTACTTTTCTTATTTTTATTCTTTTATTTTTAAAAAATACTCGCATTTTTTATGATAAGAAACACGATAAATTTACGCTATACTTAGTTATACTTGTTAAACCACCTTTTATTATATGTTACGCGTGGTACTATTATGTTATATTTTTTACGTTGCATTGTATTATGTCATGTAATTATAACGTAACGATGTGTAAATTTATTGAAGTTGTAAAAAAAAAAAGCATTTTTTTTTTTTACAACTTCAATAAATTTACATATTGATATATCAAAATATCTAAATAAATTTACAAATTGATATATCAAAATCAACATACCAGCTTCTAAGAAATGATGCTGAAAAAATGCCATATATCCTTTATATAATGGTTTAGGATCTTCAAAAGCTAAATGCTATCCTTAGAACATTCAAATAGATAACTATTCAGTTCAAATACCGCTAAAAGATCTTCTAAAACACACTCTATGTGGTATATAAACTACTGTGCTAACCGCAATGCTAAAGAATTAACTAAACTGACGTTTAGATGTAAGGCTGGATTTGATGGCGCTACGTTTACAAACAGGTAAGCTAAAATGAAAATAGTGACGAATGAAGAGTGCCTGTTGATTATTTGCATAATACCTTTACAACTCAATACACTTTATAATAATAAAAATGTTTTAATATTATTAATCCAGAATGTGCGTTTTGCTACTGCTTTGGACGATTAATATTACTATTAGCATTAACAATATATTTATTAGCTTTTATTTGCAAGGTTTTTACTTAAGATTAGTACATGTACTATTTGTAAACTTCCGTAAATGTAACAACAATTTCAGAATATATGAATTGATTGATTGCGGTTAATAGATTAAAAATAAATAAAAATACATTATTATATATAAAGATGATAAATAATCTACAGACTTATTCAAAACGTCGTGAGCATTTAATAATATCAATAATAGAGTTTCAAATCTACTGATAAATTTTCATTTTTTCTGAAGTATTTTTGTTTTTAAAGTTTGCTGCATCAATTTCTTTTATAAAGTTTATTCCACAAGAAGAGTTTGTTATTCGGTTCCACGATTTTAAGAAGTTGTAAGATTTATAAAGTTTTATAAAGTTTGTTAAATAATTTTTAGTTTAAGCAACTATTTAACTAAATTTTATAAAAAAAGTAAATATATCTTAATATATAGTGGTTCTTTGGACATATACAGTGTTGGACAAAACATTTGCAACCAACATCGAACAATGCTAAAAAGTGTTCCTTATTTTACATGTTTTAAAAACAAAACGAACTATACTACCACAGCAAACAGTTCAGGAGTCTGGAGTCATAGCATGCCATGACATGAGCAATTAGCTGACAGGTGACAGCACACAGGCAGAATTTCGTTAACAAGTGCCATTTTGCAGCGGACAAAACAAATGCAACTTTTTTGGTTTGTTTCATTTTTTTAAGTCTGGTCCGTGTCAACGTCACGAAAGTTTTTTAATAATTAAAGGAAGTACCCAGAAGTTTCCAGAAACATTCAGAAACATCCAGACGCATCCAGAAGCTTCCAGAAGCATCGAAAAGAAGCATCTAGAATCTTCCAGAACAGGTTCACAAAGGTTCATTTTACGAAGAGACATGTAAACCGACATGAAATTCAGTCAGTATATGGAAGTCAATCAGTCATTATTATCGAGACAGTTTATCGAAGTGAGTTTTATCAAAGTGTTTTATCGAAGAACAATACTGTTGAGTTCTTAATAAACGTCACCCCCCCCCTCTCGTTTATTAATTTTTGGATATTTTTCCCACCCACCCTAAGCTTATTAAGACTATCTCCCCCTTCCCCCCCCCCCCCCCGTTTATTAGTTTTTACTTGTTATCAACAAAAAAATCTCAAAAGTAAAAAAAATTCAGTGAATATCGGCCTTAAAAATTTGAAAATAATTTTCAGTCACCGATAAAAACAAAAACTTTCAGCGTAAACAGGCTTTTGAAATTGTCGGCCTATTAAATCTCGATTTGCTAAAAAAGAACTTTTAGTTTATTTCTCAACAAAGCTTTGGTTTTAATTATAGGATTTAATATGCTGAATATAAGTTTTATACTTAGCACAGTATAAAACTTATATTAGCATATTAAATCCTATTCAATTATGATAAAACTGCCTAACAGCTGTTAGAAAATGCGCTTTTAACCCTAATAGCTGTTAGAAATTGCGCTTTTGACCGCA